GTTATAAGCAACCGGCGGCTGGAAAAAGCATGCGGCATGGGCAACGGACAACGCCATGCGCTATTCGCTGCGCGGCGCTCGCACGCGCCGCGATGTGTGATGTAACAGCGACGTGCGCTACGCGACGGGGGAAGGTCACGCTTGTTCTATATGTGACTCGTCGCGGCAGCTACACGCTGCTGGTATCGCTCAGAGCCCAGCGGGTCAAGTTCGAAGAATGGAACGCGCGCATCGCATACGCTGGAGGCGGCCAGCGTTCGTGTCGCCACCGCGACGCCCCGCCCCGCTGGCCCTCCCAAGGCTCCCCGCCGCGCGCCGCGAAACAACGGCGCCATGCACCCAATCATGCGACAGCGCCCTGTGCGTGCGCATGTGCATGTGCATGCGTGTCGCAAACGAAACCACCGTTGTTGCGACCGTGCTAAACGAAAACCACGGAATGTCTGGCGGTGGTGCTCTCCCGCAACAGGGCAGTTGCACGCACTCCTGACGTGCGGCGAATTCTTGGCCTCGCGTTTCACATGGGCCGGCTTCGCGGGGTCGAGTTTTGTAACAAAAATCATGGGGCCATCGCCGCTTACGTCAAGGCCTTGCCAATTCAACGCGCGCCTCGCCCGTTGGGGCCCCTCGACGGAAGTCTCGCAGGTCGCAACCCCCCAGGAGGCGGCGAGGTCTCGTGGTGATCCGCGTAAGACGTCACTCCGAAGCCTTCCCAGAAGCCCACGAAAGTGGCGACAGTCTCGCAGATCGCACCCATGGGGCGGCGAGGTCTCGTGGCAATCCGCGTAAGACGTCACTCCGCTGGCCCTCCCGAGGAAACCCACGATACTGGCGACCGTCTCGCAGATCGCACCCACGGGGCGGCGAGGTCTCGTGGCAATCCGCGTAAGACGTCACTCCGCTGGCCCTCCCGAGGAAACCCACGATGCTGGCGACAATTTCGCGGATCGCAATCACCCAGGGGGCGGCGTGGTCTCTTGGTGATCCGCGCGGGAGATCATTCCGCTGGTCCTCCCAGAAACCAACGAAAAGAGGCGACCGTCTCGCAGACCGCCACCCCCCACGGTGCGGCGAGGTCTCGTGGTGATCCGCGTCAGACGTGGCTACGCTTGCCCTCCCAGAACCCTACGAAAATGGCGACCGTCTTGCAAATCGCAGCGTCCCACGGGGCGGCGAGGTCTCGTGGTGATCCGCGTAAGACGTTACTCCGCTAGCCCTCCCAGAAACCAGCGAAAATGGCGACCGTCTCGCAGATCGCAGCCCCCAAGGGTGCGGCGAGGTCTCGTGGTGACCCGCGTAAGACGTCATCCCACTGGCCCCCCCAGAAGCGCACGAAAGTGGCGACCGTCTCGCAGATCGCACCCCCCCCCAACGGGGCGGCGAGGTGTTGTGGCCATCGCTCTGCTGGCCCTCCCAGAAGCCCACGATACTGGCGACCGCCTCGCAGATCGCAACCGCCCAGGGGGCGGCGAGATCTCGTGGTAATCCGCGTCAGACGTCACCCCGCTGGCCCTCCCAGGGAAACCCACGAATGTGGCGGCGAGGTCTAGTGGTGATCTGCGTAAGGCGTACCTCCGCTGACCCCTCCAGGAGCCCACGATACATATTGGCGACAATTTCGCAGGGCGCCGCGAGGAGCAGGAGGTCGGAGACGGAAGGGAAGGAGGAGAGCGGGATAAGGAGGAGACGCGACCAGAGTGCTCTATTCAGAACGAGTACCCAACCAAGGGAAGATTGGGAAATACTCAACACAAGCACACAGACGCACAAACACACACAGACGCACAAACACACACACACACGCACACACACACACGCGCAAGCGCACACGCACACGCACACGCACACGCACACGCAAACGCACACGCACACGCACACGCACACGCACACGCACACGCACACGCACACGCACACGCACGCGCACGCGCACGCGCACGCGCACGCGCGCACGCGCGCACGCACGCACGCGCGCACGCGCGCACGCGCGCACGCGCGCACGCGCGCACGCACGCACGCACGCACGCACACACGCACACACACACACATTCACACATTCACACATTCACACACACACACTTACACACACACACTTACACACAAGCATACACACACAAACACACACACGCGCACACGCGCACACGCACACTCACACGCACACGCACACGCACACACACACACAAAAACACAAACACAAAAAACACACACACACACAAACGCACAAACACTTTTAGCGCCGGCGGCTGGGCAAAGGACGTCACAGCTAGCGATGGGATGCCTAAGCGGGGCTGCCGTTGAAGCAAATTGTGCCACCACAAACACACAACACACAGCAAACATATTCACACAAACGCACAAACGCACGAACACGCAAACACACAAACACACAACCACACACACACGAAGCACACACACCCACAAACACTGTTAGCGTCGGCGGCTAGGCAAGGGACGGCTGCGCTGGCGATGGGATGCCTACACGGGAATGCCATTACAACCAATTGTGCCACAACAAACACACAACACACAACCACACAAGCACACATTCACACATTCAGACACACACGCAAACACACAAACACACAAACACACAGACACGCAAACACACACACACACTTACAATCACACAAGCACGCCCACACACAAACACACACACACACAAACACACAAACTCACAAACACACAAACACACAAGCATACACGCAAACACACAAACAAACACAAACAAACACAAACGCACAAGCACACATACACACAAACAAACGAACACACACACACACGCACACACACAACACATACAACACATACGCAACACACACAGAACACGCACACAACATACACAACACACAACACACAGGGGTAGACAACGATGTTCAAGCCTGGCTGAGCATACTTATGGTTAGAATGTGCATGGCTGAGCTAATCAGAAGCTTGAACTCAGGCTTGGGCTTACGCTAGTGCTAGGGTTTATTCAGCTTGCGCATTAGATTGGGCTGAAGGAGCTTTGCCAAGGCTTACGTAGGCTTTAGGCCTTGCTTGAGCTTGAGCTTATGCGCTGTGGCTGAGGCCTTTTCCTTGGGTTTGTCTAGGTCGCGGGCTTCTGTTTCAGGTTCTGAGATTTAGACATCGGGTCTAGGCGTAGGCGTCGCAAATCCCACCAGCCCTTTGGGCGTGAGTGGTTTAGAGAGCCCGCTCTGTCCTCAACCCCCCTTCTTCCCCTTCGGGGAGGGGTTTACCCCTCCCCCTCCCCCCTCCCCCTGGGCCTTGAGAGGGACCCCGGGGCGTCGCCAGGGGGGTCTTTTTCGACTCCTGGGAGGGTCAACAAAAACGACGACCCTCACGAGGATTCCGGCCCCGAGGGGGGGAGTGAGTTTGGCCCCTCTGCTCGTCTTTGAAGCAGAAATCATTGATTTTACTACGGTTTTGGCCCCATTTTGGCCTTCTGAGGGGGCCGCGCTCATCTTCCTTCATAGCAAAATCATTGATTTTACGAAGGTTTTGGGCTCATTTTGTCCTTCTCAGGGGGCAGCGCTCATTTGCGCTTCTGAGGAGGTCGCAAGAGGCCCCAAGATGGCCCCAAGAGGCCCCCAGGAGGCTCCCAAGAGGCCTCCAAGAGGCCCCCAAGAGGCCCCCAAGAGGCCCCAAGAGGCCCCCAAGAGGCCCCCAAGAGGCCCCCAAGAGGCCCCAAGAGGCCCCCAAGAGGCCCCCAAGAGGCCCCCAAGAGGCCCCCAAGAGGCCCCAAGAGGCTCCAAGAGGCCCCCAAGAGGCCCCACGAGGAGCCCGAACGACTCACACCAGGACGAGGGGCCCGAACGACTCACACCACGAAGAGCCCGAACGACTCACACCACAAGGAGGGGCCCGAACGACTCACACCAGGACGAGGCGCCCGAACGACTCACACCACGAGGAGCCCGAACGACTCACACCACGACGCGGGCCCCGAACGACTCACACCACGAGGAGCCCGAACGAGTCACACCAGGAGGAGGGGCCCGAACGACTCACACCAGGATGAGGGGCCCGAACAACTCACACCACGAGAAGCCCGAACGACTCACACCAGGACGAAGAGCCCGAACGACTCACACCACGAAGAGCCCGAACGACTCACACCAGGAAGAAGGGCCCGAACGACTCACACCAGGACGAGAAACCCCAAACGACTCAAATCACGAGGAGCGCTTTCTCTCCCTCCTCCTCCGCCTCGTCCTTCTCCCGCTCCCCCCACAAGGAGGATGTACAAGGAGGCGGGAGGAAGGAGGAACAGGGGAGATATGCGGGGCCAAGCGGACACACGCCTGAAAAACACGACTGTCGGCATGCTTCGCAAGAGTTGCTGCTGTGAGATGGGCTGGTGGGGATACGCGAAGCGTAAAGAATTTAGGCCTCGGCTTCAAGCTTCGGCTCAACTTTAGCTTTGCCGTCGCTGAATCTTGTTAGTTTCGCCACAGGCTCTTTTTGCCGACGGTGGAACTATCTCTCCGGGCGACTGTTAATCTCTATGGCCGTCACCGGGCGAGACGATCAGGCGCGACTGCGCGGCGCTGGTCACGAGCAGCCGCGAAGAATGCAAGTTTTCCTCGACAGACACCTCCGCGCTCGGATGCTTCCCAAATGTGTTCCCAGATTGGGGATGGAAGATCGCGCTGCATCGCCGATGCATTGCCGATACAACAGCGGTGACGTCGGCGGTAAATCGGCGCCGTCGGCGTGGAGAACATCGGGCTCCACATCGAACTACATCGCCGATGCTTGGGGCATGCAATCTGGGGCGGCTCCACAATCAGAACTCCCGGCACGAACTTCGCCGTAGCACATCGAACGGATGCTTTCGGAGGCATGCCTATCTGAAGAAGTGCGTTGGCAGCATTATGGGCAATTGAGTTTGCACCACCCTGACATGCCCACCACGCATCCTAGAGATTCCACCCCACAGGAAGATCAGAGTGACCGTTTCGGGTGCGGATCTCATGGCTGCATTGCTCGTGTCCAGATGCGACCTGCTGGTCGAGGTTCTCCAGCTTGAGGCTCTCCAGCTTCGAAGACGCAAACAGCAGCGCCGTCCCACCGCCAGGCACGATACCCTCTTCCAGTGCAGCCTTCGTAGCATTCAACGCGTCGTTCAGCCTATCCTGCGCACGCGCTCATGGAGGGGCACCCCTGACTGTGGCATGAATGTGCGCTGTTCGCGCGTGAAGACATACGCGTGCCACACGCATTCACATACGTTCCACGACGCTGCACAGCAATAGACCAAAGTTTTCACTCTATATGTCGTTTACTGTCACCACGCGCAGCACACTCATCGTGTCAGTTACATCTGCATGTACCGAAGCTTACCTAAGCACTGCCCTTTCCTGCGCTGCTATCGCTACCTGTGCCTGACCAACTCTCTTTGCCATCAAGCTTGTCCTCAAACTTACCCCAGCACACCATGCTCTCCTTACCATCACCCAGTTCTTGCTAACGGGATGTGACAATCGATAAGCAACATGAAATGTGCCCAAATCCAACGTTCCGTTTTTTCTATGCGTGGGCCCCCGGAACTGGACGACTTCCCTGAGGTGAATTTTTCGTCCTGGATAATTTTCGAAAATCCATCAGGGCCCGTTGGGGGGCTACCAGAGGCTGGAAATAGCCAAAGACTGGCCGCTTAAATTTGTTCGGAGCCTCGGATCTCCTGGTACAGTGGAGGCCAGCCCACAAGAAACCTTCCACAAGAAACCCAACCCTCCCAACCCTACGACCCCAGGACGTCAATCGATCTTTGGTGTGGGAACGTCACGCTTTCAATGGCAAAACCATCGAAGCCCAAGAAACCCAGGGCACCCTGGAGGCAAACAAAGTGTTTCTTGGCATGGGTCTCCGCTCTACGTGCATGGGCTGCGACGCGACGATGGCTCGCTTCTGACACTCCCCGGTCCTTGACCTCGTTGACCTCGACTTCACTGGCGCCGCCGACCTCTCGGGCGCCGAAAGGCGACGCACGTGGCCAGCAGAGGTAGAGGGCACAAAGATGGAGGCAACGATTTCCCGAGGTACTGCGACCTTATCCGCGAGCAAAAAGACCCCCTCTGCGCACTGAGCAGGGGGAAACGAGTAGCGACGCATGTAACCAACAGATGTATGAGGGCACAGGGATGGAGGCAACGATTTTCTGAGGCACTGCGAGTTTATCTGCGAGCAAAGACTCCTTTAAAAATAAGAAGAACAACTAACGGCGTAAACATCATCTTTTGACGCTCGGCGCGGATTTCTTGGATCCGCGCTGGAGCCCTCTGCCTGGCGCGCGGAGCGCGCCAGGGGCGGCGCCAGAGGCGCCGCCGGGGGAACCCAACGCGGATCCAAGACATCCGAGCGGAGCGCCAAAAGTTCATGCTTATACAGTTTCTCTTCTTCGAAGCTTCGAGCAGGGGGGAACGAGTACCCGTCGGTCGGCAGAAGTAGGTAGAAACATGAAGCAGGAAGGCGTTGGAAGTAGATTGGGGCGCCCGCCCGCCCTCTGAAGAGGAGGGAAGAAGGAAACCAGTCGATCCTTGAAGTAGGAAGGCGCCAAAAGTAGATCGGCATCTGGGAATCCAGAACTGCCTACTCTCAACGACCGTAGGGGGCCACATGTGAACCCTACCCCCACGATTTCTGAGGGGGAGGGTGGGGTTCACTTCGTTCGGGAGCTCCCGAGCGAAGTGAACCCCACCCTCACCCTCAGAAATCGTGGGGGGTAGGGGTAGGGTTCACATGTGGCCCCCGACCGGCGAGCAGCTGTTCTCGGCGGAAGGCATCTTCGCGTGCGGGGAGGAGCGGGGCGGAGGGCAGGCTCCTGCGTGCCTTCGCAGAGCAGAGGGGCCCGCCCACGAGCACGCGATAGCCAAATGTGTATACATATATATATATATATATATGTATATGTATGTACATATTATATATATATGTGTGTATCTGTACACACATATATATATATATATATATATATATTCATGGGCGTACGCCTAGATTTAATCCCACCAGCCCTTTGGGCGTGAGTGGTTTAGAGAGCCCGCTCTGTTCTCAACCCTCCTTCCCCTTCGGGGAGGGGTTTACCCCTCCCCCCTACCCCCTCCCCCTGGGCCTGGAGAGGTCCCACCGCGGGTGGTCAGGGGAGTCCTTTTCGACTCCTGGGGGGGCTAAAAAACGACACCCCTCACGAGGATTCTGGCCCCGACGGGGGGAGGAAGAAAAAACCCTCTCCTCTTCTTTGAAGCCAACACCATTGATTTTACTACGGTTTTGGCCCCATTTTGGCCTTCTGAGGGGGCAGCGCTCATTAAAGTTCCCCTCTTCCTTCAAGGCACATTCATTGATTTTACGAAGGTTTTGGCCTCATTTCGCCCTTCTGAGGGGGCAGCGCTCATTAAAGCTCCCCTCTTCATTGATCGACTTCCTCCAAGATGGCCCCAAGAAGCGCCCAGGAGGCACACTGAGGCCCCAAGATGGCCCCAAGAGGCCCCCAGGAGGCCCCAAGAGGCCTCCAAGAGGCCCCCAAGATGCCCCCAAGAGGCCCCCAAGAGGCCCCAAGAGGCTCCCCCGAGGCACCCAAGACGCTCCTGGAAGCCCCTGGGGCCGCCAAGAGGCCCCCAAGACGCCCCAAACGGCCTCCAAGAGGCTCCCAAGAGGCCCGAAGAGGCTCCCCCAAGGCACCCAAGACGCTCCTAGAAGCCCCTGGGGCCGCCAAGAGGCCCCCAAGACGCCCCAAAAGGGGACGAGGTGCCCGAACGCCTGACGCCACGAGGAGCCCGACCGACTCACCCCAGGACGAGGGGCCCGAACGACTCACACTACGAAGAGCCCGAACGACTCACACCAGAAGGAGGGGCCCGAACGACTCACACCAGGACGAGGCGCCCGAACGACTCACACCACGAGGAGCCCGAACGACTCACACCAGAAGGAGGGGCCCGAACGACTCACAGCACGAGGAGCCCGAACGAGTCACACCAGGAGGAGGAGCCCGAACGACTCACACCAGGACGAGGGACCCGAACAACTCACACCACGAGAAGCCCGAACGACTCACACCAGAACGAAGAGCCCGAACGACTCACACCACGAAGAGCCCGAACGACTCACACCAGGAAGAAGGGCCCGAACGACTCACACCAGGACGAGAAACCCCAAACGACTCAAACCACGAGGGTACAAGGAAGCGCGAGGAAAGAGTAACAGGGGAGATATGCGGGGGCAAGCGGAAACACGCCTGAAAAACACGACTGTCGGCATGCTTCGCAAGAGTTGCTGTTTTGAGATGGGCTGGTGGGGATACGCGAAGCGTAAAGAATTTAGGTCGGGCCTGTCCCCCTACAGGGGGATTCTCGACGAAAAATGAAATAAGATATACTCAGAACATGCTCCCAAATAGTCATAAAATATTCAACACATAGTCAGAACTATTCAAAACATAGTCCCTCTACAGGGGGAATGTCCAAAATACTATTTCTGAATATTCCCCCTGTAGAGGGACAGGCCCGACTTAAGTGTGCGCCCAGATTCCCCAAGCCGCGCTTGCACTCAGAGGCTCTGGGGGCCCACGCGGCGAAAGGAGGCAGATGAGGAGGAGGCGGTGGAGGAGGAAGGGGAGGGAAATGAGGAGGTAGATGAGGAGGCGGTGGAGGAAGAGGAGGGAAGTGAGGAGGCAGATGAGGAGCACCGTCGGGGAGCATCGCAGTCGAACAAGTTCACCAGGAGGCGCAGCCGCAGGATCTCGCGATCTCGCTCGTGCTTACATTGACCAATCTGAAAGGGGCCCTGGGACACACAAGTAAATACACTCAAACAAAAGGATTCCCCATCTTTTCCCATGTTTCCTGTGTTCTTATCTCCCCCCCAATCCCCACATCTTCCCATCTTTTCTCGGGAAGCGACGATTCATTGTGTCTGTGTGTCTCTCCACCTCCTGACAACCAACTGATGGGTCCACCGCAATTGAGCAGGGACCGACCGCCCCGGCCTTCCTATAGTCATACCACGACATGTTCTTAGAACCCAAAAACGTTCTAAGAACACAAGCAATGTTCTTAGAACCTAACCCCGGTGCGTTAAAACAGGACAGTCCCGGCCAGAAATGCTCTATCGGGGATGGACAGACCCCCCTTTAGTAGAATGTAGTTTAATGAAAACGACCTGAGGCCCAAACCTGGCGGGCGCAAGCCTGGAAAATAGCGGCCACGGCGCCCTCTCGAGAACCGAAAGCGGACAATTCACTAATCGACGTGTCACTGTTGGGGGTTCTGTCCACCCCCGATTCTGAGAACATTTCGTGGAAACCACAAAAGGTTTTTAGAACATCGTTTGGTAGGGCTATAGGCACGCCGGACGCTTCGCCACCGCTTGACGCAAGTCCGCCTCGCGGACCGATCGTGGGCGCTTGTGTCTGTGTGTGTGTGTGCGTGTGTGTCTTCCCCTCCTCCTGACAAACCAGCGGATGGGTCCACCGCAAGTCCGCCTCTGGCCATCGCTCGGACGTCCATTCCCTGTGTTTTTGTTCGGCTTCGTGCGTGGTTTTTTTCGCCAAATGATCGAGGATGCTCCTCGATGGTCCTCGCCGAAGGAAAAATGCACACGTCCGAGCGATGCCAAGGCCTCGTGGGGCGCTCGTGGGTGCCTCGGGCGCCGGCCCGGGTCGGCCGAAGCGCCGCCCGGTGGGCGCCTCGCGGGAGGCCCCGTGCGCCGGCGGGGCCCGCCGAGGCTGCCCAGCGGTGGGCGCCCGTGCGCGCCTGCGCGTCGGTCTCGCTGCAGACTGTACCCCACAGCGCTCACGACACGGACATGCACAATACATCAAGAAAGCAGTCCATGAGCATAAACGAAACGCATATATATATATATATATATATATATATATATATGTATATATATATATGTGTATATATATTTACACACATACACATGGCGATAGCTCCCTGTGGCCTTTTTTATGGCGTCGCTGTTATGATCAGGTTATGATGTATCCTTCCTCCATGCTTCTTCTTCCTCAGCATCGCCCTACCCTGCGAAGTAGTTATTCCCCATCCTCCTCAGCTCTTTTTGCAGGGCCTCCTCCTTGGAGAGCCTCTTGGGGGCCTCACGATAATTTTTAAAAGGGCTCCTTGGGGCCGTCCGGAGGCCTCCTGGGCGCCTCCTGGGGGCCTCTGGGGGCTTCCTCGGGCCACCCCGCTTCCAACCGCGGTCTCCCTGAACGACAGGGTCACGATCTGGAATGCTTCGGATGGAATCTTGGGGCCATCCTGGGCCGTCACGGGGCTCTCTAAGGCCCTGGCAGTCTTGAAACCCTGCTGTGCCGTCCTGGGGCTCCTCTGGACTGCCTGGAAACCCTTTCGGATGGCTAGGGGGCGATTTTCGAGCCTCCTGAGCGGTCTTGGACGCCCGGAGGACCGAAGCACGGGGCGTCCCCCAGATCATGCAAGAATCTTGGAAAATCACTGTCTTTTTCTGCGTGTCGGAGTCCTCTTTGGCGTCTTCTTGGGGTCGTCTTCGGGTGTCTGGTGGGTGTCTGGGGGGGCGAGCTGCCGCCTTCTTGACCGATTTGGGCCCGTTGCTCAGGCCCAGCAGGGTCTTCCAGGACCTCTGAAACCCCTGGGGGGCCTCCCCTGGCGGCGCGCACAAGGGGGTGGGGGGTGGGGGGGGGGGGGGCTTCTTAGAAGCAGGCTGCTGCTTAGAAGGCGCTGGCCTTACATCTACAGATAAGGCCCGCGCCTTCTAAGAAGCAGAGGCGCTTCTAAGATCCCTCCCCCCTCCCCCCACCCCCCTCTGCGCGTGGCTGAAGGGGCGTCCAGTGGGTCCCTGGGGCCACGGATCCGGTCCCCAAACGGGCCAAGATACCCTCTGCAAAGTTCCAGTGCGGCCCACGAGACAGTCGTCATGCGGGGGCCTCGTGGTGTGGAATGGGCTCCTGGAAAGTTTGGGTCAGATTTGAAAGATCAGGGGCCATCTGGACCTGAGACCTCCTGCAGCCACCGCCTGGCCCACTGGGGACTGCTTCGGCAATTTTCGAGTCCACCTTCGGACCAACGGGCCAATCTGGGGCCCAATGGGCCATCTGGGCGCCACCCTGGGTCGGCTTGGCGGCCAACGGGCAGGAGCCTTTCATGTGCTGCTGTGGCAGATGATCCAAACAGTCCCCCCTGACACCTCCCTCAAAAGAGGAGCCGAGCCATGTCACATGTAGCGGCCTTCTGGGCGGTGCCCGACGGGCCGCCACACATAATGCTTCGTTGACGCTGTGGCGTATTCGTAGGTATGTGTCAAACTGAAAGCTCGAGCTTGTGCACACGACGGGCATACAGCCAATGCCGCTTGAGCAAGCGGGGGCATAACGCCACCCAGCTATGAACGTGAAAGCACCTGGCAAGAATAGCAAGGCCCACTCCTGAAGGATATCTGGGATGCTACCAACAGAGCGAGCGACCTCCACCTAATGGCGACAGGGGCTGCGGAGACAGCGAGCAGAACACAAATAATAGAATATAACGACTTGGGAACCAAGCGAAACTGTCAAACAGGTTGCACGATTTCCAAATCCGCCGACCCTTCGGCATGTGTGGGACGCTGTCGTCGTCTTCGTCGTCGTCATCGTCGTTGTTAGTGCCAAGGCATGTTTTGGAACGACCAGAGAAAACAAACGTTGCAGAGTTGAATCGATCCCCTTCTTGTTTATCCCCTCTCTGACGGAGGGGTGGGGGGTCACCGGGGGTGGGAGAGGGGGGGAAAAGGGATCTCCCCTGTGAGGGGAAAAGGGCCTCGGGGGAGGACCCGCCTGCGGTGGGGAGGGTCCGCCCCCCCCCCCCCTCGGGTCCAAGCGGGTCCGGGGAGGGGGGGGGGCGCCAGCGGGGGTCGTTGGGGGAGGTCCCGCCTTCCGGGTCGGCGGCGCCCGCCGGAAGGCCTTCACAATGTACGGGCCCAAGATGGCGTCGCGCCCCGCCCCCCCCCCAAGGCCTCATGATGTTCCCAGCTCGCCTCGGGATGTCCCGACAAGATGCCCAACGATGCCTTCAGCGAGGCCCTCAGGGACCAACAGAAAGAACATTCGGAATTTCACCGCCAATTGCTGCCGAAGCTTTTCCGCGTCCGATCGCCTTGGGAAAACTTCCGAGAACCCCAACCGAGTTTCGAGACGGCACAATACGCGGTCCGTCTAGACGTCCGCAATCTCGTTCATCCAAGCCCACCCTCTGCAAACGAGCTCGGTAAAACATCCGTGCACGAGGTGGCCCCGAGAACCCCGACAGGCCCACAGCGGTCTCCCAAACTGGCCCCGAGAGGTCCCCCGAGAAGCCCCCGAAACCCGCGCCAGTTCAGGCAGGCCACTGCACCAGAACGACTCGTAATTAGCATCTTCAACATCCTTCTCGCTGCTGCGCTGCTGCGCGGGTACGGTGGCGGGAAACGCTCCAATATAGGCCGACTCCCCCCCGCTGACCTTGATGACGGCAACGCCACCGCTGAGCTTCGCAAGTCTCTCCTTCATCTTGTCCTTTTCGTACTCCGACGTCGAGGCGTCGATCGCGTCGCGTATCTCCTCGCAGCGCTCGGATATTCTGGCCTTGGAATGTCTCTCCATCTCGGGAGGTCACGTGAGCAACGCGAAGCTGAAGCGAGTCACGAGCTGGTTATCACATGCGTTCTTCTAGGCACGTTTCTCGTGAATCAAAGCCTGCTTATGGTCACGAATCCCACACGTTTCACCAACTTGACTGGAGCCCTGTGGGAATGGCCAGAACCGAACCTCTTCGCAGCGTGCTTTCAGGCATGCTCTGCCCTGGCTTCTGCCCAAAAGGAGGCGGGAGGGGGGACAAGGGGGAGAGAGAGAGAGAGAGAGGAGAGGGAGGGACGGAGAGAGAGAGAGAGAGAGACAAACAGAACGGGTGAGGCAAGGCTGGGAGGGGCCAGGAGGGGGCACGCGGAGTGCCGAAGACGACGACGAACCCATTGGATCGACTTCGAGCCGAGAGGGGTTTGGCATCGCTGTTCGCTGCCGCGCGAACCACTTCTGCACTGCTCAGACAAGCGTCTTGGACGCCGCGCCGCGCCCAAGGGGGCCAGATCGCCCTCGGTGCGCTGGTGGCTGTCCGCCGCGCGGGGGGCCTCGGGGCTGTCGGCGGGGGTGGCGCCTCCAGGGGGCGCAAGGGACGATCCAGCATTCGCTGGAATGGATCACTAGGCAAGCGCGTTCCGCTGCTCGCAGCGTCACTCCTCGCAGATGGCCCGGATCCGCCGTAGGGGGCTGCACAATAGATTGCATCGAGGCGAACGTGTTTTTATGACATTCGAGAAGGTGGTGGAGGAGGAGCAGGAGGAGGAACAATAGGAGAAAGAGGAGGAGGAGGAGGAGGACCAGGAGGAGGAGGAGGAGAAGGAGGAGGAGGAGGAAGAGGAACAATAGGAGGAGCAGGAGGAGGAGCAGGAGGAGGAGCAGGAGGAGGAGGAGGAGGAGAAGGAGGAAGAGGAGGAGGATGAGCAGGAGGAGGAGGAGGAGGGGGAGGAGGAGGAGCAGGAGGAGGAGCAGGAGCAGGAGGAGCAGGAGGACCAATGGGTCTGGCCGGTGGGCGCGGGGCGATGAGGGCAATCCGCCCGCGGCGCGGATCTGGCGGCGCTGCGCGCCGCTGTGGGCGATCCGAAGCGGCACCCGTCGCCAATCCACCCGCCTTCCGCCATTAGGGAGACCACAAAGGACGTACGCGCCCAACTATGTACATGAACACGGCCCCTCGATCCGCGAGACCGGCTGCGTGATACGAGCATTCGCGCTTTGAGTAAGCTCGAAACCAACGTGGATTCATGTACGTGTACGTCCTTCTTCCGCTCCTGAGCCATGGTTGCGCTCCCAAGACACGAGCGCGCGCGCCACCTGAGCGACGATCAAAAACGGGTCTTGCGCGAGACGACGCAGCGGCCTTACGCGATGGCTCACGCGGGCCGCCCGCGCGCACGCCGCAGTGGAGAGGAGGGCGCTCACGAGCGACCTTACGCGAGCAGCTTACGCGCGAATGTCGGCACCGACGACCTCGTTTTTCGTCGCTCTTACAGCTGGCGACTCCAGCTTGAGACAGCTCCGACTCCCAGCCGCCGCGAAACAGGCGCTTCGGCCGAGGGCTGCCGAACGCGGTGGGCGTGTGGACTTGCATGGGTGACTAGCTCGCTAATCTTTGCTGCGAATTCTCAAACGTTGTATGCTTGAGGTGGTACAGCAAGGCGACAGTGCCACGGACCCGGTCCCTCGCTGGCAACTCGCTGGTGCCACGGAATACCTCGCGGAGTGCTCCCCCGGAGCAGCACGAAAAATGGTAGGTGAACCTGGCAGGTAGGAATGTGCGCAGAAGGCGACCAGGCTCGCTAGGCCTTGCCCAAGCCCTGGAAGGGATCGGCTGGGGTGGCTCGTCCCCGCGCGCATCATGGAACTCTGAAAGAGCCTCAGCGTCACCCAAGATGCTGTGCTTCAACGCGCCCTGTGGATCCGCCATCATACCGCGAGACACGAGGAGGAGGAGGAGGAGGAGGAGGAGCAGGAGGAGGAGGAGGAGGAGCGTGCAGGAGGAGGAAACGTGTCCTCGTGCCTTCGAATTCTCTGTGCCGAAGATTGCGACAACTCTTCAAGGCGTCCAAATACGGGATTGGCGGAGTTCCCACGCGCTGCTTGGCTGAGGGGCAACGTCTAGGAGGGAACTGGCTTGGGGGGGAAACGCCGAGCTGAAATCGGCGATACATCGCCGACAGATCGGCGATGGGCCCTCGATAGCGAATCCGCGCGTTCCTGGGCGGGGTGGGCTATCAGGCCCCTCTCGGTAATGGATGGGCGATTGGGGGTCGATGCATCCACGCTGAGCCCATCCCCCCCGAAACGTTGTCTCCGACTGGTGCTTCCAAGGCTTGGGACGCGATTTTTCCCGGGGTCTTGGGAGCAATTCCCTCGATCTGAACGCCCCTCGGTCGGAGCAGGGCGAGCTGAGACAACGGCAACTCAAAATCGGTCCCTGTACCCCTGCCGGGGTCCAAACGCACCAGTTTTCCGAGCTGCGCCTGGCCGTGGCGACGAGGAGGCCCCCCGAAGGAAGCCCAACCACCATTGTACGACGGCGAGCTCGGGGGGGAAGTGAGAAGGGGAGGGCCTTCTCAGCAAGCTCGAAGTCCTCTGGCCTTCTGGGAAGTTTTCAGTTCCTTCCCCGAAGACACCGACAACTGCTCAGAAGGCCGGAGGGCCTCCGAGGAGCCCCGCCGCCTTCTGAGAAGGCCTCCTCCCTCTCACCTCCTCCCTCGCCCGCCACCGAGCTGCCTCAACTCGCCCTCCTCTGGCTCACGCGCCGCCCCCCCCTTCGGGGGGACGCGGCACCAACTGACCACCCCACCACCCGGGACGGGCCCAGCGGTGTCCACTGCCGATCCACCGGTGCTGCATCGCCGATCTCAGCTCAATATTTGCCCCTCCTGAGCTGGCCCCTGCGGACGAGGAGGCAGGAGGCGGGAGGCGGACGAGGAGGAATGAGGAGCAGGAGGGGGAGGGGGAGGAGGAGCAGCAGCAGGAGGAGCAGGAGGAGGAGGAGGAGGAGGAGGAGGAGGAGGAGGAGGAGGAGCAGGAGGAGGAGGAGGAGGAGGAGGAGGAGGAGGAGGCCCAGCATCGGCGAACACGCCCCTCCCGTGGGCCGAGAGCGGGGCCGCTCCGGCGCGGAGCCCTCGGCGCAGCGACGGGGGGTGGACTTTTTGGGCATCGGGGGGAGATGTCGGCGGCGCGCCCCGAAGGGAAGCTATACAATCATCGGCCTGACCTAAGGAACGATCAATAAGGAGCGAAGCCCCTTTTTCTTCCAAGGGGTAGCGCAGAAGGAGAGATATATAAGAAATAACGCATCGGGAGCCATCAATCACGCATGCAAGCCGAAGGGAGGACCGAGCCCCTTGTGAAAAGTAGGTGTTCCTTATTCAAGCCGCTCGCTGTAGGGCAACTATCTTCGCGCTTCGCGCTCCGCGGTTCTCTTCGCGCTTTCGCGCGCCGCCCCCCCCCCCCCCCCCCCCCAGAAGAGGGCGACTTCCCGTGCCTTCGGGGGGGCCGGGAACACGTCTCGGAGGGCCGCAGGCCCTCCGAGCCTTCTGAGAATACCCACTTCCTCCCTTCCTCCAGGCCTCGGAACACATAGCGAGCAATCATGCCACGCTCATCGGTCCACGCCCCCTCTCTCCCCCGAGTGTTCAAAGTTGGCGGGGGGTCTGATGACTTGCACTTCGACCGCAGTCCCCTCCGCGCGTGCCAACTTTGAATTTGGGGAAGGGTGAACGTTCTCTCTTATTCGACGTCTCGACATTGGGCGGAGGGGAGGGGGGGTTCTAGCTCCGGACCTCTGCTTAGAGCCACTGTCTGCAACAGTGCGTCCTATGGGGGAGGCTCCACCTGCTCGAAACAGGCGCCAAAACAGCCAAGATCTACTCCATGGGGGGGAGGGGGGAGGGGGGGTGCGAGGGCCCGCGCCGATCATAAGAAAACGATGACACAAAAGAGGATTCTCGATGAATTGTTTCCCTCTGCCGCCTCATTTCCCCCCCCCGGCACCCGAACTCGCCGCCGAGCATGGGTCCCGAAGGAACCGGACCCTGGGCCCCAGGGACCTGCCCCCCCCCCGAGGACTGGCTCCTCCGCCCGAGCCGTCTGCGGGCCGTGCCCGGGCCCGGGGGGGGAGTCGCCCGGAGCCCGAAGCCGGCGGAGGATCTCTGGGACTCGCGCCCCTCCAGATTCTTCTTCTGCCCGCAAGGCCACAGCTGCATCTTGGGCCTGGTCGAGGCGGGCTCTGTCTGGTAGACGAGCGCGTTCTACTACTCGCAAAGTGACTGCTCGCAAATGGCCTGGATCCTCCGCGGAGGATCTACGATAAAGTACACGAAGTCTGACGTAAGGTTTTTCGGACGTTTGCGAGCAGGCACTTTGCGAGTAGTGGAACGCGCTCGGCGATCTGGACAAATGGCGACAACGGCGTGTAGTGATCGATGCCGGCGTGCCTTGGCCGGGGATGTGCGCTGGTTCGCACTGGAGGTGAGAGGCTGGCAGGCCGCGCCGAGGGGCGAAGCGAGAGGAGGCGGGCCTTCTCGGAGTGCGGCGGGGCTTCTCGGCAGCCCTCCCGCCTTCTGAGAAGCCCTGTGGCTTCGGAGAGGGCTTCGAAAGCTTCTCAGGAGGCTAGATGAGGAACGAACAGCACGCACCCATACTGGGACGGAAGGGCATGGGTGCGTGTTATCGGATCGGGGTCCCCGCTCGAACGGTAGCCTCCCACAAGGGTCCGACAACCCGAACCCATAACCGTAGCCAGTCCTCCTCCCTCCGACCCTCCCATGGGTTTTTCTGTGCGTGCCGTTCGCTCGTCAGCTAGAAGCCTTCTGAACCTTCTGAGAAAGCCCGCCGCTTCTGCCTCCCCCCCTGGGGTCGTCGCCGGCTGATGGTCAGGCGACGGCAGACTGAGCGCGCGGCCTTGTCTCCCGCGCCGTCCAGCAGGATCGTGTCGTCCTTGCCGATCGTCACCGTTTTGGCAGTCCCGAGCTGGGACAGCTGGACATCCTCTAGCTTGCCGCCTTCGGAACAAAACATTGTTCTGGGACAGGACAAATCTGGGACGGAACACTTTTGAGGGACAGGCGGTATTTGGGACTGAACACTTCTTGGGTTCGAAATATATCCTGGGGGAGCCAACAAGCTGTTGACTGCCCCGCACAACAATTGTCGGTACCATATTGCTTCTGTTGCAATGTTGTCGGGGGCCCGCATCGTGAGCAGACCACTCCCGCGATGATTTGGTGGGTTTCGGCAACAGTGTAGGAGATGGGGAGGTTGGGGGCGTCTACCATCAGCTGAAGTTCGGCGGTCGCCAAAAAGCAACATAAACACACATTCATTTGCTGACAACGTGCTTCCAGACTTGCACTGTGCCCCGAGTCAGTTCGACGAAGTAGCGCGAGCCAATGATTCTCCTCATGGACGCGCGTATGCACAAAGCGTCCTATGGCGAGGAGTCCTGCACACTCTGTGGTAGGCGTGGGGAACATGATAGCTGCCCCGTGAAGTAACTACGACTGCGACGGGTTGCAGCGGGAACTAGTCAAGGACAGCTACAACAAGTCTCATGCAATGAAGTAGTTGCAGCGTAGGGTGAACATGGGTCGCTTGGCTTGACCATCGGAAGCGACGGGCAACCTCTGGGCAACTATTTGGCAACAGTGATCAACCCATGTATTAGCTATGACGTGGCTATGAAAGAAGCGATGGTCCACTCTGATCAACGTGCACAACTACATACAAACTACTTTATGTCTGCATACACAATGATGCAAACACGCCAAAGGCAAACCTCCCGTCACACAACCAAACCGTGATCGGCCTTCCATACATCGCGTCATTAATTTAGCCAGGCGCCCCGCCACGCAAGACATCGCGAGTTCTGCATGTTTCATTGCATTCTAAGATGCACCATACGTTAGATGTCCGACATCCCGACGCACAAAAAGATCGGGATGCCCCACGTTCGCCTGTGCTGCTTAGGGAGCGGCCACGAGCTACAGCTCCTGACGCATGCATTCGCCAACCCACCATGGTTCTCGGGGGGCTGCTGGAGATCCTCCAAAACTATTCTGGCGAAAGACCCAACCACATGCAGTTGTGAGTGCCCTGATTGTGAGACTGGTCTTCGGTTGAGCTTCCCATGGGGCACTGAAACGTGAGCGGGGTGTGCTGATTCGGGTGCGGCGGTGCGATGCTGGCGCTGCAGCTGGGACCATCGGACGAACTCTCTACGGTGCCGCGATGCGTGTGAAAAGTGTGCCGAAAACGGGTGCGGCGGTGCCATGCGGTGCGCTCACTGCCACTGTGGCCTTCGGTGGAGCTCCCTATGGGGCGGCGACGCGTGAGGGGTGCCGAAATGGGCGCGGCGGTGACACGAGGGCGCTGCCACTGGAGCCTTCGGTGGAGCTCCCCATAGGGCTACGACACGTGTGAAGGGTGTGCCGAAACGGGTGCGACGGTGTCAATAGGGCGCTGCCACTGGAGCCTTCGGTGGAGCTCCCCATGGAGCCGCGGAACGTGTGAAGGGTGTGCCGAGATGTGCGCAGCGGTGCCATGCGGGCGCTGTCACTGGGCCGTGGATTGCGCTATGGGCTGCGATCTGTGTGAGGAGTGTGCCGAAACAAGTGCGGCGGTGCAATGCGGTCACTGCCACTGTGGTCTTCGGTGGAGCTCCCTATGGGGCGGCGAAACGTTTGAGGAATGTGCCGAAACGGGCGCGGCGGTGCCATTGTGGCGCTGCAACTGGAGCATTCGGTGGAACTCACTATGAATCCACGGAATGTGTGATGGGTGTGCAGAAACGGGTTCGTCGGTGCCATGCGGGCGCTGCCGCTGGGGCCTTCGGAAGAGCTCCCAACGGGGCCGCAACACGTTTGAGGGTTGTGCCGAAACGGGCGCGGCTGCGCCATGCGGGTGCTGCCACTGGGCCCTTCTATGGAACTACCTGTGGGGCCACGAAACGTGCGAGGGGTGTGCCGACATGGTCGTGCAGATGGCGGGGGCAAGGTTGGGAGGAGGGAGGAGGGTGCAGCAGGAGGCGGGAATGACGCGGAGCACTGTGTCTTCAACATGGGGACCCAACATCACAGGATGGTGGGGAATAGGTTAAGTCATGTTCTCAACCACGTTGTCGAATGGTTCGCGCACGCGCGGCCGCTCCTGGGCCCCCTCCCCGAGAGACCAGTGGCCGCCTGCAGCAGTGCCACGAGGATGGCAAGACCGGGGGCCAAAGTGTGTGCACCTCCTCTGGGGGAAACGCCAATTTCCAGGATTGGCCCACACTGGCCCGGGATGGCGCAAGATGGCTCAACAACTACGTCATGAGGTGCCAAGGTGCCTCCAGGATGGCACCGCTCGATGGGTACCTTTTTGACCCATGTCCGCCAGCCCTGCACTTCACCGATGTTAGCTACACCAGGCGCCTGTCTCCTCACTGATGAGCTCCGCGCCTGTGAGGACGGCCAAATCGTTCATGATGGCCTTGCGGTTGTCCCCGAATCCAGGAGCCTTTATGGCCGCAACCTTCTGGAGGAGACCCAAGAAGAGCGCAACTACAATTGTCAACATTTTCCTGCACGCTCTTCGGAGCGGGAAATGATGCCAGCCTCTGTCAGCTGTTTTTCTCCTCCCACTCTGTGCACTTCGACGCGTTCGCGAACAGAAACCTCTGTTACCCATGCCTCTCTGACAGTGCAGCTGAGAGTTAACACAATGGGGAATCGAACGATACATCGACGGAATGGCAGACAGTTCTGAGCCCGCGCGCCTTCAGGCCACCTCGCAGCTTGTTAACGATCAGCATGGCGAGCGCGTCGCCTAGAGTTATGATGTTCCCATCCTACTTAAGGACTGCATCCCAGAAATTCTTTCGAGCGCCCAGAAAAGTGTCAAAAGAGTGTCGAAACAGTGTCTCCCATGGCCCGACCGGTGAAAACCCTCGAGATTTCCGGTATTTTTTTGGGGGGGGCTCGAAATTATTTCTCACGATCCTGGCTGAAGTAGGTTGGAACATCAGAAGCCTACAGGGCAATTTTTAATACATGGGGTTTTTGAACAATACAAGATTTTTAATGCATGACCAATCTACGAATAGATTGATGCATGAACTCCTCGGTGTTTTTAATACAAAATCCCTGCATCTTGTATACATGATCCGCACGCGGAGCATGTACTAAAAACGGCCATGTAGAGGAACACACAGCCTGGCCATCGCTCGCACGTCCATTCCCTGTGTTTTTTTCGGTTTCGTGCGTGGGCTTTTCGCCAAATGATCAAGGATGCTCCTCGATGGTCTTCGCCGAAGGAAAAATCAAATAGTCCGAGCGATGCCAAGCAGCCGCCAAGCACACGCGCTCCGGCTCTGCGCCGGCTCTCGGGTCTGCCCTCGGGGCCCCGGCGCGCGAGGAGGAGCGCCGGGGGGGGGCGCCCCCCCCGGAGGCGGCGAGAGGGGGGGGGCGCCCAGCACGGATGCAGGAGCCACGCGCACCTCCGAAGGTTCCTTTTTTGGGGGGCAGGGGCCAGAGGGGGTCTCCGCGCACCTCCGGAAGGTTCCTGCTTGTGCCGTCTGCGGGCCTCCGAGAAAAAAAGCGGAGCTGGAAGGTGAGGGGGGGGGAAAGAAGAGGACCTCGATCCTTCCCAGCGCCTTCAGCCTTCGAGCCTCCTCTCCCTCGATCATATTCTCGAGCCTCGACCATGCTCCAGTCTACTCGAAGAAAGCCTGTAACTACGACGACGCGACTCTTATCACGACGTGGACCTCCAGGGCTGGGAAACGGCCCACCGAGACAAACATATTAAACAATCATACACCGTAATTTCTTTTCACAACGCTTATGTTGCTCCTATCGTACACGTCGGTCGGAAGAAGTAGGTAAAACCATGAAGCAGGAAGGCGGATTAAGTTGATTGGTTCCAGGCCCCCCCAGAGAATAACAAAACATAGCAAAAGCGTGTCGATTCTTGAAGTAGGAAGGCGCTTGAAGTAGATTGGGATCTGGGAATCCAAAAATACCTACTTTCAACGACCGGCGTGTACTTGGACCAAATCCCAGAAATAATTTCGAGCACGCACAAGAGTGTCGAAGCAGCGTCGGGCGAGCATCGCCTCCCAGGGCCCGACACGTGAAATCGAGCCTCGACCATACTCCGCTCTAATCGAAGAAAGCCCATAATTGCGACGACGTGACTCTTGCCGCAACGTGGACCTCCAGGGCTGGGAAACGGCCCCCCGAGACAGACAGTTCAGATCATCATCCGCCGCAACTTTGGTTTCACAACGCGAGGCCTGGGGTTGAGGCCGGCGAGAGGAGCGGAGGCCTTCCGAATGGTGTCCGAGTGCACACGGTCGGCGGATCGCGCCGCATCGCCCCTGCAGCGCCGATGCACCGGCGCTGCGTCGGCGACGCCAGCGTAGGGAACATCGGATTCCGCATCGAGCCGCATCGCCGATGCGTCGGCGATGGCGCGCCATCCTCGGACCCCACATGCTCGGAGGTCCGACGCGGCGAGAAAACTGGAGCACCGTCGAACATCCGGGACCCCTGGACCGCATGCTCCTGCTGCGTTGCTCGACTCAGATCGACCTGCGATGGGCGCGCGAGGGTGCGGTGTCGTGGAAATGTGCTTGACAGCTCCTCAGCTTGCCCACAGCTGGTTGCGACCGCCGCCGACGCAAGAAAGTACACGACTCAAGTTGAACAGATGCTTGAAGACTAGGGCCCGCAGCTGGGCGAAAACGGCCGCGGGGCGAGCAGAACTGCAACGCCCGGGCCTCGGGCTCTCCCTGCCAGACGTGCGGCGTGGTGACCTCTGCAGCGCGCGGCCCCCGGAAGCCCCGACCCTTCCCCTGGGGCCCGTGCCTCAGACCGGGCCGCTCCCCGACGGCCCCGGAGCCTGCTGACGGCGCCCACGGGCCGAGAGGGGCCCAAAGTCTCCCGTCGTGCCTTTTGGTCCCCGACGCGAGCATATCTGGGTGCCCGATGAGAGACGGGGGGCGCTCGTCGGAGCATCTGCTCGGCCCCATGTAGGGTGGCCGGCGCGGGGGGAGCGCGTCGCCGTCGACGTCCTCCGCGCACAGCAGCAGCGGCTTCTGCAGCTTGGCCACCTGGGCGTCGAAAAGAGACGGGTCTTGCGCGAGATGACGTACAGTCGGGGCGTTGACCTAAGGAACCCTAAATAAGGAACGAGGCCCCTTTTTCCCACAAGTTAAACTTCGATTTCCTGTCGAAAACATAAGGAAAACCTAATGCAATCTGTGAAACAATCAAGGAACACCGAGCCCCTCCCCAACGAGAAGGCTTCCTTCTTCAGCGCCCCGACTGTACGTAGCGACCTGACGAGATGGCTTTTGCACGGGGCGGCACGCCACACTCTAGACGAGGGCGCTCACGCGCCATCTTACGCGGGCAACTTGCGCGCGAATGTCGGCGCCAACGACCCCGTTCTCCTCGCCATCGCCCGGACGTCCCTTCGCCGTGCATGCTTCGGCCTCGTGCGGACGACTCGTGCACTCAGCTTCCGCCAGATGATCCAAGCTGCTCATCGGTAATTGTCGCCGGTGAAGGATTGCACGCGCCCGGGTGGCCAAGTCTGTTTACTCAGAGCGTGAATTACCTACCCCGCTTTCGCTTCCAGGCAAAACCAAGCCATACCATGCGCCTCCTCGTCAAGCGGCCTGACCAGTGCAGGCTGCAATTTGGCATCGTTTGGTATCTCTTGGAAGCGAGGGTGGTCAAAAGCGAGGTAGGTTTGTTTTCCCCCGGTTCACGTTGCTCATCTGGGCGGCCAGCGCCCGCGCGGCGGGGAGCGAGCCCTTATTCCCCCCTTGGTCGGACGAAGGAGGGGCTGCCAGTGGGCTGGGGGCTGGGTGCGCTCGCGCCAGATCCGACCTCTGGCCCCTCCCACCCACCCCCAGCTGGCGCCCAGTCCCACGCACGCCGAGATCTCATGGTGGTCCCCGTGTGACAAGGATGATTAAACGAGGAGGAGGAGGAGGAGGAGGAGGAGGAGGAGGAGGAGGAGGAGGAGGAGGAGGAGGACGAGGAGAAAGAAGGGAGGAAGGGGGAGGGGGGAGGAGTGAGTGAGTGATGGAGACCACGGTGCTCGATTCAAAACGAGAACCCAACCAAACGCCTGCGCCTGCCTCGCGGGTGACAGGGCCCGTGTGGTTGACCTCGGGGCGCCTGTGGGGGGGGGGGGCCTTACGGGCATTGGGCGTTGGCTCTTGCGCCCTCCACCTCTTGGCGGGCGTGGGCCCTCGACGCACAGCCGTCGCTGCGCATCCCCACATTGAAGGGGCCCCAAGACACACACATAAATACACACAAATAAAACGATTCCCCATATTTTCCCATGTTTGTGGAGTTTCGGTCTTCCCCCCCACTTCCCATATTCTCCCAAATTTTCTGGGGAGTCGACGATTAATTGCGTCTGTGTGTTTCTTTCCCTCCTGAGTGTTTTTCCTTCCGAGTCCACCGAGGGGTATGACAGCGGACTTGGCACCCTTAGAAGGACCCCATTGTGTCGTGCGCTGCCACAGAAGGGGAGCTGCGGACCTTGTGGGAGGCGGCGGATGAGCAGGAGGATGAGCAGGAGGAAAATGAGGAGGATGCCTGTTGCCACCGCCGCCGCCGATGCCAAAGGACAATCGCTTTTTCTGTTCTGAAGCACCGAGGGCACGGGAAACGGACGAGCTTCAGCAAAGGTGCGCCGGCTCAAATCACTGGGAGGATCGAGGCACGACCGTGCCCTAGCCTGCGCTGACAGAGACAAGGGTACAACAATTGCGCGAAGGTGGGAGGGTCTGGGAACGCAGCGAATGGAAACTGAAATGGCATCGGATTGCGGCCTCTTTCGCTGCGGCACACGGCAATCAACAATGAAATGCTGAACATCCTTGTTGCCCCGACGCCGAGGCCAGAAAATTGGCATTTTTCCTGAAACACCGACGGCACGGAATACGGAGGAACTTCAACAAAACTGCGCCGGCTGAAGATCATAGGGGGGATCGAGGAATGACCGTGCCTCAGCCTGCATTGACGAAGACGAAGGCACAACAGCTCGCGGCCTTGCCAAACTATCCCTTGGCCAGCTCGCCATTAAACTCAGATCGACGTGTGTTTACAGGTTACTTGCACACTGGGCTCTGAAGTCGTAGTCGTGCTGGCGTGATTAAGGGCGCGAGTCAGGGCCTGGTCAGCGGTTCTTGTTTTGAAGCCGCCGCACTGGGCCAGACCATGTTGGAGTACCATGTGGGACCTGTTCTAGAACAGGAGCATACCATAGACGGATCCACCCTTTCTCCGACCTTCCACCGCGCCGAACGAACCCTAAACTGAGGCCAGCGCTGCAGCGAAAGCAGCTGGTCGAGACACCGAAAAAGACGCTCCGAGGGGAAACACGTACAGGGGATACTAGTTTTCGGCATCCTGCTCCTCGAGGCAACACGTGGAAGGAGCGGGCCACCCCCTGGCCACCTGCGGGCGAGAGAGCAGGGTAGTCCCCATCGGTTGGAGAAGAAGTAGGCAGAAACAGGAAGCAGGAAGGCGTTGAACGCAGATTGGGTGTCCGCCCGCCCCCAGAGGAGGACTGAAAAGGTGAAGCAGCTCGATCGTTGAATTTCAAGGCGCTTAAGAAGCATATTGGAATCTGGGAATCCCACAGTTAACCAGCCTCGAACGTATCCCTATCCCTAAGATGGGCGAGCAAAAAACGAGGACAATCTTAGGGATCGGCCCTCAGAAACGGAGGGAATCCTCAAGATCGGCGTCGAGGTCAGGTGATGTCAAACATTAGGGACAGGGATGTGTTTCAAACTGGTAAAAAGTGCCTACTTTCAACGACCGATGGTGCTTGTTCCTGCCGAGCAGTTGTGGAGGGGGCGGGGGGGGGGGGCGAGACGCCGCCCCGTTCCCGCGCTGGGCGCCCGCCTGCTCGAGGAGAGGGAGGATCGCCTGGACGGAGGAGATCTTCTTGTCGTACATCAGGATCAGGGGGCTCTCCATCTCGACCTTCTGGGCCTTGTAGAGGAAAGAGGACTATGCACGTACACCGATTCTGGCCAGGACCATCCTTAGCCCAGGACCGGTGCACACGCCCTCTTACCTTGGCCAGGAAGGTGTATGCACCGATCCTGGGTCAAGGATGGGCGTTGTCAGGATCGGTGCATGTGCATAGTTCTCTTCGCTCGGCCTTGGCGTTCGTGACGAAGTACGGCGAGATGTACCCCCTGTCGAGTTTCATGCCCTCCACGACCTCCAGCTCGTGCTCCATGGTCTTGCCGTCCGCGACCGTGATGGTCCCGTCCTGCACAGGGAGATCAGTAACGGCACACACACACACACGAAACTTCACAAATCCGCGAGGATTTAACCAGCCTCGAACGTATCCCTATCCCTAAGATGGGCGAGCAAAAGGCGAGGACAATCTTAGGGAGAGGCCCTCGGAAACGGAGGGAATCCTCAAGATCGGCATCGAGGTGAGGTGATGTCAAACATTAGGGACAGGGATGTGTTTCAAACTGGTAAAAAGTACCTACTTATGGATATGTTTCAAACTGTTTTCAACATAGGGATAGGGATATGTCAAACTGGTAAGGCTGTTCCTGGATCTGCTCTGGCACGCCCCTCCCTGGCGCGCTTCCGTCCGGCGGCGCGCTGCCGTCCGGCGCGCCCGGGGGGCGGCGCCGAAGCGCGGCCGAGGGGGTTCCAGCGCAGATCCGAGAGATCAGCCCGGGCTCAAGTCCTTCTAATTGCATGGTCGTGCGAGGCTTCTGCCGTCTTTGCTGATGCGCTGCTGGCGTTGCCATTACAGGGCAGTCTTTAATGCATGGGATTTCTAAAAATATGGGATGTCTAAGACATGACTCATTCAGGAATAAATTCATGCATGAACTCATCGTTGTTTTGAGTACTAGATCCCTGCATTTGTTATACATGATCCGCACGCGGAGCATGTATGAAAACCGGCACTGTAATTACGTGGTCGTGCGAGGCTGCTGCCGTCTTTGCTGATGCGCTGCTGGTGCTGCCATGACCATTGCCTTGTCTTGTGCACCCTGCACCCATGCTTGGGGTCGACTTTGGGCGTAGTTCTTTTCCTCTTCGAATCCTTGCCGACTTTCTCGAACGCCTCGGTGATCATGTCGCCGATGCTCGTGTCGCCGTTTGCCGCTATGGTGGCCACGCTCCTGATGCTGGCGGGCGAGTCGATGGTCGTCGCCCGCGCGGCCAACTCCTCGGGGGGCTGGCCGCGCGCCGTCGCATCCTCTGCGCGGCCTTGGCGGACCTCCCGGGGGAAGGAACCTGACTCGGCCCGGGGGGGAGGAAGTGAGCGGTGAAGGGACCCAGGGACACACGCACACACGCACACACACACACACACGCACGCACAAACACTCACAAACACACACAAACACACACACACAGAAACACACACACAAGCAGACACAAACACACACAAACGCACACACACAAACACACACAAACGCACACACAAAAACACACACAAACACATACACACACGCACACACACGCGCACACAGACGCACACGCACACGCACATGCACACGCACACGCACACAGACACACGCACAGACACACGCACAGGCACAGGCACAAACACAACACACACAGACACACGCAGACACACACACAGCCACACACACAGACACACAGACACACACATACAGACACACACCGACAGACAGACACAGGCACACACACAGACACACACACAGAGACACACACAGACACACACACAGCCACACACTCAGACACACACACACACACACAGACACACACAGACACACACACACACAGACACGCACGCAGACAAACACGCAGACACACACACACACACAAACACACACACAGACACACACACAGACACACACACACACACAATCTTTTGATCTGCGGGGCGAGAGCGAACCTCTTCCGCTGAAAGCTAGGCGGGCTACGCACAGCTTTGATTAGGGAGACAGGGCACAGGAAGGCGGGGCCTCAGGCGGCCAGAACAGGCGGGGCCCGGGGAACAGGCGCTGCCGAAGTGGATGTGCAGGAAATGGTACGCCATGGACAGGGACACAGACACACACAGAGACACACAGAGACTCACAAACGCACAGACACACACACACAGACACACACACACAGACACACACAGAGACACGCACGCAGACACACACGCAGACACACACGCAGACACAAACACACACAGACACACACACACACTAACACACACAAACACACCGACACAAACAGACACACACACAGACACACACACAGACACACATGCAGACACACACGCAGACACACACACATACACAGACACACACAGAGACACACACAGAGACACACACACTGAGAGGCACACAGAGAGACACACAGAGAGGCACACAGAGAGACGCACAGGGAGACGCACAGAGACACAAAGAGAGACACAGAGGGAGACACACAGGCAGACACACAGAGAGACACACAGAGCGACACACAGAGAGCGACACACAGAGAGAGATACACAGAGAGAGACACACAGAGGCACGCACCGAGAGACACATAGAGAGACACACAGAGAGACACACCGAGAGACACACAAAAACTCACAGAGAGACACACTGAGACGCACACGGAGACACACACATACACACACAGAGACACACACACAGAGACACACACGGAGACACACATATAGAGACACACACACACAGACAAATCCAGAGACACACACAAAGAGAGACACACACACACAGACACACACACAGAGCCACACACACAGACACACACACACAACGAGACACACACACACAGAGACACACACAGAGAGCCACACGCAAAGAGAGCCACACACAGAGGGAGCCACACACGGAGAGACACACGGGGACACACACGGAGACACACAGAGAGACACACACGGAGACGCACACGGAGACTCATACGGAGACACACGCGGAGACACACACGCGGCCACACACACAGACACACACAGGGACACACACACACAGAGACACACAGAGACACACACACATACACGCACGGGGACACACACACAGACACACACACAAAGAGACACACACAGAGAGACACACACAGGGACACACACGGAGACACACATGGAGACACACACAGACACAATGGGAGACACACAGACACACACAAAAACACACACAGGCACACACAGAGACGCACACAGAGAGACACACACAGAGAGACACACACACAGACACACACAGAGACACACACGGAGACACACACACAGACGCACACAGAGACACACACAGAGACACACACAGAGACACACACAGAGACACACACAGACACACAAACGCACACATATACACACAGAGACACACAGCGACACACACAGAGACACACACACGCACACAGACACACACAGAGACACACACACAGAGACACACAAAGACACACACAGACACACACACAGACACACAGAGAGACACAGAGGCACTCAGAGAGACACAGGGACACCCAGGGACACACACCGACATGCAACCACACACAGAGACACGCGCAGAAACACACAGAGACACACAAAAACACACAGAGACGCACAAAGAGACACACACAGAGACACACAAAGAGCGACACACAGAGAGATACACACAGACACACAAAGAGACACACAGACACACGCAGAAACACACAGAGACACACACTGGCACGCACAGACATACAGAGACACGCACATATACATACACACATACACACGCATACAGACATACGCAGACCTCACACACACGCACACACGCACACACACGCACACACACACGCACACACACACGCACACACACGCACACACACAAACACACACACAAACACACACACACACACAAACGCACACACACAAACACACGCACACACACGCACACAAACACACACACACACACACACACGCACGCACGCACGCACGCACGCACGCACGCACGCACGCATCCTCCCCATCCCGTCACCCCCCCCCAGCCCCCCCACACACCCCACCCCACCGCCCCACCCCGTCACCGCGTCACCGCGTCACCGCGTCACCCCGTCACCCCGTCACCCCGCCACCCCGCCACCCTTTCACCCCGTCACCCCCCCGCCCCCCGCCCCCCCGCCCCCCTACCTATCCACCCCCCCACCTATCCATCCTTACGTCTTGGCAACCCCGCCGTCCTAACTATCAAAGAACAACTCAAACTCATTTTTCCCTCGCCAACATGTCGTCGAATTGTAAAAAGTGAAGCAAGAATGGGACGGAATCACCATCGCTCTGGGGCCCTACGTGGGTGGTCGCGTCCTACCTATCAGAACAGAATATAAAGTCAACGCTTTTCTCGACAACGTGGACTTTTTTGTCGTCGACGCTGCAGAAACTGTAGCAGGACCCCCCGTCTTACCTGGCAACAAACACCGCAACGTCGACGTTTTTCTTGCCAACATGTACTTTCTCTTCGTCGGCGCTGCGAATCGCGTAGCGGGAATGGGGCGCGGCGCGCATCGCGGGGGGGCGCCTGCTCGTCAACGAGGACTTTCTTGTCGTCGACGCTGCGGCGCGACGGGTTGAGGAGCTGGGCGGGCGGCAAATCATAATGCTTCAAGCATGTGCGGTTCGCCGCCGGCGCGCCTTTTGTCGTGTCCACGTAAGAGAGACCTCTCTCCCGCCCCTCCTCTTCCTCCTCGTCCTCCCCCTCCTCCATGCGCGGCAGGAGCGGAACGATTGGCGGTGCAACGCGCGTGGCTGGAATGAGACGCGGCGCACTTCGCGCGCTGGACATGTTGTCGCCGACGATGCAACATGAGAGGCCAGAGCCGGGCGCGGCGCACATCGCGCGCGTCCTTGTTTCTCGTCGACGTTGCTCAATTCGCTGTAGGAATAGGACGCAGCTCGTGATGCGCGCTGAACGTCTAGCCGCCCGCGATATAAGATGAGCGACAGGCGTCGGACGCGACGCACTTGCTTCTTATGTTGTGGGAGTGCGGGTGGAAGTGGACGGAACTCTCTGGTTCGTTCGAGCTGGCTAACTTGACGCGCCCCCCCCACCCCACCCCGCCGCGCGCGCGCGCGCAAACGCGCGCGCCGCGCGCACGCGCGCGCACGCGCACGCGCGCACACACACACACGCACGCACACACAAACACACACGCACACACGCACACACACACACCCTCACACAGACGCACACACATACATCACACACACCACCCGCACACCACGCGCGCCGCACACACCAGACACTCCACACACACCATACACATACACGCACACACACACACACACATTCACACACACACACACCACGCACACCACACACACCACACACACACGCGCACACACACACACACGCACGCACACACACACACGACACACACCGCACACACATACACACACACCCACACACACAAGCGCGCACGCGCACGCGCGCGCGCACACGCGCACGCGCGCGCACCCGTACGCACACGCACACGCAACGCACACGCACACGCACACGCACACACACACCACGCACCACGCACCCCGCACCCCGCACCACGCACCACGCACCACGCACCCGCACCGCATGCGCACGCGCGCGCACACACCACGCGCCACGCACCCCGCACCCCGCACCACGCACCACGCGCCACGCACCACGCACCACGCACCACGCACCCGCACCGCATGCGCACGCGCACGCGCGCGCACGCGCGCGCGCGCGCACGCCAACGCGCGCGCGCGCGCACACACTCACGCGCACTCGAACGCGCACAGAAACGCGCACGCGCGCGCACGCGCGCGCGCACGCGCACGCGCGCGCGCACGCACGCGCGCACGCGCGCGAACACGCACACGCGCACGCACACAGACACGCACACGCACACGCGCACGGACACGCACGCGCGCACGCACGCGCGCGCGCGCACGCGCACGCGCACGCCGCAAACGCACACGCACACGCACACGCACACACTCACGCGCAAGCGAACGCGCGCACAAAACGCGCACGCGCACGCGCACGCGCGCACGCACGCGCACGCGCGCGCACACGCGCACGCACGCGCGCACGCGCACGCACACGCACACGCACGCGCCACGCACGCGCACGCGCGCGCGCGCGCGCAAACGCGCACGCACGCGCGCTCACGCACACGCACGCGCGCACGCGCACGCGGACACGCACGCGCACACCCACGCGCACGCGCACGCGCACACACGCACACGCACACGCGCACACGCGCACACGCGCGCACGCGCACACG